CGCTTCCGGGTTCCCTTTAATATTCATTTAACGTCCCACGCAGTTGCGCCTTTATGGAACATGTAATACGTTTGAGACAAAAGAAATTTCTAATTAACTTGAAATGAAACGACCTGCTCGTCGTAACTTCTAATCATTAATTCACACTCATACACTTGTTTTCATGTACTACCAAACACTTTTCATTTTCAGTATGCATTAATAAGAATATCGAATTTGTACAAATTATAAATAGTGATATATAATCCTATTTAAAAAATCAAAAGTTGAATGCATATTTCAATAATAAAGATTTCTAAAATTAGTACCATAAATGTTTCATTTCACACGAAAATCCATAGTCTAATTATTACGTGATTTGAGCTAAAAAGAGAGAAGCTGAAAAAGACTGAAAGTCGGAGACACAAAGGGGTAACAATCTGTCGATCGAGCTACCGTGAAATCAGCGGCGGCGGAGGAAAAATTGCACACGACGGTTAATGAGCTACGGCAAAACTGGCACGTATAATCACGATATCGATTCGTAAAGGTTCGAACCGTAGTTAGTACGGCCTAGAACAGAAATAACTGAAAACGCGGAGCTTCTGCCCCGCGAACTCCGGTTGGTTGTACACGCGGGATAATAGGATCCCCCGTTCCGCGATTACTTCGCTCGGGCCGGTCGATGGAAATTTGATTTCTGCCGACGCTTTATGGTTGGTCTAGCCACCCGGATTTGTTGCCTAGGCGCCTGGCCTCTCGGAAATTTATGACAACGATTACTCGACCGAGAGCCGGCGTTTCCCTATCGACAGGTCACGGAGTCGGGGCTTAATGAGCGACGTCTTAATGGAATCGGCTCGTGATACGGGTCAGGCCGACAACGAATATCTCAGAGATGAAACGTACGTGGGATACGGCACCCATCAAACGGTCAAAGGTGTCGTTATCTAATCGACGCCAGGCTAGGGTCCGATCAGGTCGTCAGGGTGTGAGTACAGGTTGGAATGATTCCGCGTTAATTCCAGTTCGACTGGAAGCGTGGTTTCTTCGGTCGATTACTTGGCAACAGAAGCTGGAACCGCATTGTGTGCATCGGCATAAAAGTTGCTCTGCACCGAAGCTTGCGCCGGCCGGTTGTACGGAAATTAAAACGGAATTTCCATCGGGTCGCAGCTGCGAGAAAAGAAGCCTCATGCGACTTTAATTCGAATTAACGAATGCGAACAATTAATTCTGTTGTTTAATCTAGTAAATTTATAATGCAATATTAAAAATCGTATTAAACAAATCCGAATAAATAAATAACACGTGTTTATTTATAATAAAGTCTGACTTAGGTTTGTCGAATTATTTTTAATCAGTGAATAAACAGCGTTAAATGGCGCACACGAAGCCACCCCATCGTGAAGAGGGGCAATAAATGAAAGCACTTCAGTCAAAAGTGGTTAGAGTCCAACACCTTTGCAAATAGGGTTGAGAGCCACTGTCTTAAAACAGCACTGCGTGCCAGATCGATACCACGTCGGCTACCCTTAAACTCTGAAATGTGGACCGAAGCGAACGCAAAAGACACGTTCTACTCCCTCCTCCATTACAATACAACACGTGGAGAAAAGATATGCGCGACTGGAACTTCGATAAATAAAAAGTAGATCATATTTTATAAAGAATTCCAAATACTGTTCGTACGCTAAAAACTTTGCCCAATTTACACAATACATCCTTTCACGTTCAATCATAGGAAAAGTTCGAAACATCCAAACTAGAATTCATTTACATAGCAAATTATTTTCTTGTCCTGAATTTCATTTTTATTATTTGCCCTTGCTCACGTATCACGATAGCATCTACTTTCCTTGATTGATGAACAGTCCCTAAAGGTGATAAGCGATTATGGTTGTCCAGAAGTTAACGCACACTCGCTATCGGCACGCAACTGGCTAACACGAAACGCGCGTTTCGATGCTACGCGTCATTCCCTAACTTGATCTCGATTTAATTAACAGTAACGTCAGTTCTAAACTTGAATTCGAGCCGGTATCAGGTAACTACGAAACGTGACGCGTTTGTATCTGTGGAAACGTGAATTAATATTCGAGTAACTCGAAGTACAGTTAAAACCATAATGAGAGTCTGCTAAAGGAAGTCCTTACAAAAAGCTTTCATAGCTTTCAACGACGAAATTAAATTTATTCATTTCCTATGTAAAATGTATTTTTCATTTTGCATAAAAAATCAGTAGCCTAATTATCTCTGTGTAGTCGGAACGAGTCTTTGAATTTCGCAGAGAGATTCTACGAGGAGTAATTAAAAGTGAATATTTCAAACGTTCTCCCGTTTAAATAGAAGTAAATAACTTAATAATCGCGAGAGGAATTCTTTTAAAAGGCGATGAAACATTTCGTCGCGTTAACGGCGTGCTCAGTCAGTGGAAACGTCGTCGTCGCGTCGCCCCAGACCAAAAAGCTCCAATTGTCCCCGACTCTTTGAATGAATAAACCTGCCAGACAGCCATCCTTTTCTTTTTCTTCAGATCTGTAAATCGAGACGTCGAAACCGAGTAGGAAACTCGTACATATGTACGGCGGTTCGGAAATCTGCAAAAATCTAGATGGAGAAAGATAATCCCAGGAGAAGGAGGATGAACGTGGGCGGCGAAATATGAAGTAATAATGTGAAAGATAGGGCACCGGATGGGTGCGTGGAAAGTGGAGATCCGGCGGAACCGAAGCCGGCAATATTAATAACGAGAGGGCGACGAGCGGCGGAGCGTTTGCATATGTGTTCGCTCTCTCGCGAATCTTTTTTGCTACATATACATATGTATATATATTTATTGCACGGAGTTACACGACATCGAGTCTCGGAACAGTTTGCGGGTTCGCTAAAACAGCCTTAGGCTTGATATCGATTCTAGCCCTCGACAAAGGATCCGGCAGTGTTTGCGTCCGGTTTACCCTCGATGAAAACTTGCACGAAAGTGTCTGAAATAAACTCGTTATATATAGGTGGGAGATTTTTTGCCAGAGAATAAGCTGAATATCGTGTACGTAGCCAATTCCCTTTAGGGAGAAACAGAATCGATATATCTCCAAACTTCATTCGTTTCGAAGACGTACTCCAGCTTGGATGACTCTCGACGACTTTGAAGAAGTCATATTGACGAACGGTATCCATAAGTGCAAATGTCAGAGTTAACGACGCGACGTTATTACCAGCGGTTTATATTTTCGTTTAGTTTGTGTAACGCGATTAGGGCGACGGATTTCCTGTGTGATAATCAAACGCGAATAAAGATTTATGACGTTCCGGCTCGCTCTCGCGTGGCTTATGGGTTTCGAACTCGCTTAAACGAGTGGTGGTGCACGTGGCACTTCGGCTCGCTCGGCCCGATTTATTGACGTCAAGCCAAAAAATTGTCCGTCGTCCAAAATACCCCTCCGAGCTTTATCGATGGCTCGTACATTCATCCAATTTCTTTCTCGATTTAACGCGCCTCACGTCATGTAATGTCACGCCATGGACTGGCCAGATAGGGTGTATCGGCGACACAATGTTCCCTGGACGCGTTCGATAGCTCCTCGTAGGTTTCGTTCTGCGCTACCGCAGAACAGATCGCCTATAGAAAATCGCCGGCCAACCCGTATCGCCTGTCAACGTGTCGCGAATGATGACTTAGTATCGAGGGTGAAAATTAGATCGCCGTCCGCTGGAGAACAGCGATACCCCATTTTATAAATTGCTTTATATATACGATAAATTGTTGATCTGTCTGCGCAATCTGTTCTCAACGAGAACGTCGCGGTTAAGCATTCGCGTGTCCAAGTGCTTCAGAGTAAAATAAAAATCCGATGAAAGAGTTCTTAATGAACTCGAAACAAAAGCGTTACAGGTGAACGATTACGTCTACTTTAGTTAATAAAAGCTCGTAGTGACAAAGACCGGAATGTAAACGCAACGCCCTGTTGGCTGTTCGCTCTATATTTTGTTTCGGCTTTGTTTCGCTCTACGGCGAAATAATCGGTATTGTGCAGCACGGTAAAGAGGAAGCATATTAAGTCTCGTAGTTTAATTCACCGAGCGCCTACACCCACGACGCCGGTGGTGTGCACGTACTTACTTACCTTCCTGGAGGATCAGCCAAGTGTTCAGCGCGATTAAGAACGAAATAGAAGGGCGCCGGTCGGAATAATAGGAGGAAGTCCGCGCATCGCTAGCGTTTTTTCATTCATGCTCGGTTTCAACATTTGTTCCAAGATTATTCCGCTTCCTCCGCGTCATTTCAATTTTCATGCCCCATCGCGCACCCGTGAATCCTCTGCGCGGCCCGAAAGTCGTCAAATATTTTATACATCTCCCACCACGTATCAAAAATTCATTTTTCATCCGATGTACCGACATCGTATAACACTGCTCAATGAGCTCGTTAACTGCTTCCGGAAAAATCAACGCGCGAACAGCTCCACGATCGATACAAACGGTGCAGAATTAATTAAAGGACGGACTCGGACGCTGAGTCTGGCCTAATCAATAAGCATCTGATTAGCATTATTATCTTCTCTTGCTGCTTATTCAACGATTTTTAATTATGTAATTAAATAGTGTAAATATGCATGGAGGAGGGATTATTAATAGTTCTGAGAATTGTTTGCTGCATGATTACGTCGGTTAAATTAATCGTCTACGACTTCGGCACGTCACTCGCAGCGAGTATGGTGAGCTCGATTTACGGACCGAAGAACCTCCGGCCTTGACTCGGAAACTTTTTAAATCAACAGTCTCTCACGGGCCGCGGATCGTTTCCACAGAGATCGCCAGGAATGCTGGCGAATGAAAAAAGGTCAACGCTGTTAACCGGTACAGGGGTACGGAAGAAGAAAAAAAGATCAGACGAAATTACACTTCCTCGACCGTGCACCGCTTTACCCACGATTTCGAGAACGAGAGGAAAAAGGGACTCGCAGGGAAAAGAGAATAAAGAATACACATACATATATATGAGAAGAAATAAAACTTACCTCGCTACGGTGTGCACGCAGGTTATAATTTGCCCTTAGCGGAAATTCGGTGGCCCTCGTTCGACAATGGGACGCGGTAAAAGTCACCCCTACCAGGCCGCGAGCGTTACCGCTGGCCAACCATCCTTCCTGGTAGTAATTTGTACGGTCTAGTTTCCATCCCTCGTCCTGTTAAATAACAGAGAAGCCAGTGTTATTATCACCGTCCACGTGACTAAAATTCTCATTAGCTATTGGAAACTCGAGTTTAAGGGATGTCAAATCACACGACGCGATTCAACTTGACACAAGCCGTTCCTATTAAATTTGAACGGGAAAAAATTTGCGAGCATACATTCGCCCGTTAACATAATTTACGGCCGCGGTAATTATCTTTTAGAACTACAGTAACGGAAGAAAGTTCCCTACAGGTCTTAGGGAACTTACTGTCCAGAAGTTAGAGCAGAGAACGATAATGATTTTCTCCATAGATAACTACGCTGCTCCGAGCTATAAACTCTCCCGGACGGTCTTGTCTTCGCAATGTGATAACGAAACTAACAATAAGAATGCCGATAAAACGGTAGCACGCTATACAAATCTTGAATACATACAGACACGTCAAGTCGCTTGCTTTAGAATGTACACAGGAATTATTCTAATTTCAAATTGTAGGAAACGTCCATAAGAGATAGTAAAAAAGAGAACGTAATAGCTCATTAAAAGTGTCAAAGATAAGGCGTTTTTATAGCTTGGAACAAGGTCACGGTGCGACGATTACTTTCATATCTTTCTTTTAATGCCTCGCCACTTTTCTCTTATTACCGCCTGTTTCGGTGCTGTATGAAACCGCTTCAGTCGTGGAAATCACCGACCCGACGGCAATTTGATTCCGCTACGGTAATCGTATCTTCAAACGAATTATTTTATAGATGCACGTGCGCGTTGTTGCACGACCAACGATGGATACGTTCGTTACGTGGTCTGTTATTTTAACCTTTAGAAATTTAGCGAATTTTATAGAGTACATACCTCTCCCCGGGCTTTGAATGCATAAACCGCACTTTAATAAGAATTTGAAAGTCAAATTGTACACCTAAACCGTAGTCGAATCTTTTCACGCGTCAGGAAATACAGAGTTACAGTACGTTTAATTAAAATTCCTTTCACGTTTGCAAATGAAATAGTCGAATAGAATAAAACGTATTCTGTTACGAATTGTTATTATAATTCCCATGTATGTGGGAAACGCGAAATTCGAATTGGGTATATACAGTTCCGCTGAAGGGTAGTTTCTCTCCCTTTCGTTTTCTTATTTTCCTACTCCCGACTCGTCGAGTTTGTTAACGGCTCCCAGCAGATATGCGAGAGTGACTATTTTAAAAAGTAAGCGGTTTGAAAATTTCGAATTTCCTCGGAGTCAAACGCGATTCAGCTTGCATTAGGGTATTGAAAACTTTATAACATACAGTTCGTTTCCAGGGAACTTAAAAAAAATTCACTCCTGATTTAATAATATCATCGTAGGACTTTTGGAATTTTGTTTTTTCAATGTTTGATTCTTTATTCGTTTACTTTAATTGGGTTAGTATAACAGAAAAAAGCAGCCCAGCGAAGTATATTTAAGTCTGATCATGCGACAGGATTAAACGTTTGTAGTTTAAACAACGCGGGTGACTTGATTTTTTATCCAATGTGTATGAATGTACATACATGAGCTCGCACCTCGTAACGTACACGCATAAAGGACACAAAGAGAATACTCGAGCGCGCATTGATTTTCACACCCGGCAACATCACAATTAGGGTAGCGAAGTGCCATGAGTGATACGCAGCTACCTTGTACGTACATACGTGCATCACACGTTAACAGACACAATTAAGTAGTCGATATCCGAGCGAACAGTGTTGCTGCATTGAATAAATAAAAATTAAGAGCAATTAAATCTCTACAAAAAATCCGAACGTGGTATGCAAATTCAAGGAAATACGAGACCGCTCACGCACGCGTACATGAATAGAGTTAATTAAAATTATAAATGATAATGTTATATTCGACGAGCTTNTAACGAATTAATACAAAACTAAGTTAACAATCTTTTGAAATAAAATATCTCCTTCAGAGAGAAATAGTAGCATTATTATCTATTTATATAAGCAGCCTATTGATTATTCACATGATACGCTTGGGCTTGTCTTTCTGTTATTCCTGTCTTTCTATTTTCTTACGTCGTAGCAATTCCATAAAAAGATCTATTTGTTACAAGGTTACACATCATTTGTAAACATAGTCAACTTTCAAGGTGCAAACAGCAAGTCCATTACGTACATCAGATCAATCATTCTTGCAATACTATTGAAACGTTATATTCTATTTTAGCCGATTCTCTTGTTATTCGTCCAACTCCTAAAGTTCTGATTCACAAAATTCTTTTCTACAGACATAGCTATATAAATAAATTGCTTGATTCTATCTATAGTTCCGTTGTACACAAAAGCTTCGACTATAAATTGCCCCGTCACAGCTCAGTTTCGGGATTTTATATAACACTTTTCCCCGAGAATTTTACGCTCAACGGTAAACTTTATCTACACGACATCTCATTCTTGCAAATTGAAATTAGATAGACGTTTGAAGCGTTCTTGTTTATACGTTTAAGAAATTCGCCAATAATTCTCGACGATTTACATTCGACTTTCGTTCAATGTCCAATAATGCCGTCGCTGTGCTTTCGTCGGCCGGGTCGCGTTCCTCAAATAGAAACGAGGGTAATAATTTTCTCGATCGATCAGAGGCTCGAACCAAGGCGATAACAGCGTCCGCGTATGGCAGAAATTCGTATTCGGTCAACTGTCGGCCACCTCCCGATATTAGATGGATTCACCGTGTCGCGTTGCACGAGCACACGCTCGCTGAAAGCATACGTCCGGTATCATAATACCACGAGGTGTGAAAATAAAAATTTTTATTCCCTAAGTGCTGTACAGTTCCAACTCCTCGATATCTACGTATTATTTTCACGTAGTAAGGAAGCAGGTAACGCAGACGAACATTATAGGGTCTCCAATTCTTTTATTAATTTCGATTTAATAGAACGCAAAATTAATTCGTATTAAAATAATTGAGAAATGATTCGCAGGCTACGATAGTCAAATATGACTGTTTATAATCCGCGCCTCTTTCGGTGGAACGAAATTATTCTCGAAAAACTTGAATTGTCTCGCGTGGTATTCGTCGGCACGTAACTCCACCACTTAAACGCGGCCGCGTCAGGTGGCGGGGTTGGCTTCAATGTTACAAGGGTTTCACCCTCAGACCTGTCATACATATGTAGGCGTAATTACTCCGACCAGCGCGAACCCTTAGAAAAATAAGCACCCGAGGGGTAGAGACAGATTTCGACCGGCATAGCCGGCCCATTCAACCCCTGCGCCACGAACAGGGGGCTACAACTTTTTCTTTTCGCGCGACGACGAGGCATAGAGGGTTATCCAGTGTACGTCGCGTCGTCGCCGTTCGCGTTTCACCTTGCCCGTTCAATTGTACACGGTGGAGGAAAAAAGAAGGAGAGGTAACGACAGAGCCCGCGAATTAACTCGATGCCTCGTTCCCCTTTAGTTTACGAGTAGACGTAAACGACCCGTTTACATCCGGCTGACGTGCTGCTTTTTCATGCCGCTGTGTGACGCGATCGTTGGACCCGCTCGTCCTTACGACCGAGAGATTTTATTGTCGCTATGATGCACCGCGTTTTGATATATGACTTATAAAAAGAAGTCGAGCCCATCAACTTTACTTCCCTTCCGCCAAGTGAATTCGACTCTAATTGAATACTTTAACGTTGCAATTTGGAAAATTAATTGAAAATAGACTTTAATTGAATAATAATGTTGTTTTTATTCTTAATGACTGACGTTCTAACCGCCGATTGGTTTTACCCTCGAACCCCAATTTATACAGACCTCTTCATGTTCATGAATTCGCTCCTTGAGAACAATAAGTTGACTCAGCAATTAACTGTATGTTTTTGACGTAAATATCGCGTGACGGGAACAAAAGATTTTTTCTACCCTTTACGTGCTATCAGATGGAAAAGCTTCCCACATTGTTCTCCGAGTAAAGCGATAAGATGACGATAGGCTTTACATAAGTAAAAGATCTCCCGCTATGTTTCAATCAGCATTAAAATTATTCCTCCTGCATGTACAGAATAATTCCTTGAATGATTTAATAATAATAATAATTGCAGTGCGTGGGAAGTTTTTTCCTCACGCACTTGACATTTATCTCGGTTCACTTAATCAAAGGCAATTAAATTAAACTGCACTCATAATTGGAAAACATTTCGATATGACTGATTTAATTTGAGTGCATTTCGTTTGGAACCTCGCGACAATTTAGCTCATCGATCGACAGTCAGCCATTCGCCCGAACTTGATTATTACTTTATTAGTAGCTATTAAATTTCGATAATGGCCAGTACTTTAGACGGTCCCTTTGTGTTCGCTGCCCGTAACAATGAACGAAACGGCTACTTTGATATCGCCGATTTCGTCTAAGAACACTCGAGTAAAATTGTATAACTGCAAGTTCCCTGGTTCTGCTTTCTCCCTGCGAGGAGCCTCGTTGGTCTTCGACCACAAGGGATCCGCGTATCGGATATTCGATATCCTCCTAATGGCCAGAATAAACTGGATCCGAAGTAAATTGTCGCTGTAGTTTGCAGAACATTGAGAATTGTATTTCGTTTTCCACGCGAAAAAGAAAGTCACGAGACACGCCCACGATCCATAATATATTTATTATTTATATCCCTAAAGTATTGTAAATTTATTTAAGTTCTCTTAACTTTCCTGTTGAAATTTTTTCCATTTAAGAAGGAATGAACATTCAAAAACATGCATTCTGCATATAAATAAAAGTCATTGGTTTCTACTTTTCATAATCGGGTTACACAGGATATTACATCTTTCGTTTCTTCTCCTTCGAATTATTTTTTTCCCTTGAAAGTTTTTATAACAAGTCTTCCGCTCGGATGATTTCGTTGCCGTAACTAACACGATCGTTGTATATAGTTCGCAGGGTGGTTTCGCTCCGTCTGTTGTTCCGAAAGTATCGCCGTTTTGAAACACTTGCCTCGAAACTTTTTCCATTTCGTATCACCGGATAAATAATTGTAATTCTTCTT